ACACACACACACACACACACACACACAGTCTGCACTATTTGGATCAATACTGTGCATTCCAAAGAAAACACATCTGCCTTTTGAATGAAGACCATCAGTGCCCGTTTTCAACCAACGCTCTCGGGGGCAGGGAAGGGACTAAAATGTCTAATTTGCTTAGAGCAAAAATGGCTGTACACATATACTAGTTCAATTAAAAGGACAACCTGTAGAAAAGCAATAGTTTTTCTTCAATTTCATCCACTTTTTTGCCACAAATATCCCACGCACTACTTAGAGGTTTAGTAACCTAAACTCTCTTACTTACTGATATATCTAAAGATGCTACCTGGAGAAGAGGGGTTTGTTTACCTCTTAACAAAAAGGATCTTCTGAGATGCTGATTTAGGAATTAGGTGCTTAAGACAAGTCTTTATAAAATGTTCGTATACAAAATGGTCATTTAAGAGCCAGAAATAAACTTGATTTAATATCCAAGAGCCAAAATACAGCCAGGTTTTTGGTGGTACAAAACATATCTTACTCAACATCTCTCTTAACCATAAATATAAATTTCTGAAAGACAGATATATGATCATACTTGTTTGTGAGTTCTCACTGCATTGAAATGGTAGCAGTTGTAATGAGGTAGACAACATGAGGTTTGCTTTTCTTCAGTGAGGCTGTGAATCTATTCACTCATAGTTTAGTCACCTGAGAAACGCCCTTTGCCTTGGAAGGGCGGAGTCTGAGAGTTTGAGAGGTGGGATGAGCTTTGTGGAGCGTATGTCTCCGTGCCCTTGCTTTCTATGTACTGACGATGGGGGACAATGGATACATGTGCTGTCCACACGTATTTGGTTGATAGGCAAATGTATTAACTCCTGTCTTGGTTTCCATTTGCACATGGGATTAAGCAAGTTGAACTGCCTGAAACATTCCACTCACCTATGCTTCAAAGTATAATTATGTTTATCAAGAGATATGTTATTGCTAAACATAATCTTGGCCCCAGTTAAGAATTGAGGAAAGGGGCCGGGCGCGGTGGCTCACGCCTGTAATCCTAGCACTCTGGGAGGCCGAGGTGGGCGGATTGTTTGAGCTCAGGAGTTC